TAACATCATTATTAACAATGCACAATATATGTGCAGCAAATGCATAAATTAAATGTTTAAAATTCTTCATTTCGTAGTCGCAGATCCATACAATTTGGTATGACGTTTGCTGTTCTCATGATAATTTTTCACGCAATACTAACGAACATTGAAAAAATGTTTAATTATTTTGTACTTAACAYARCAACAAYTTGGAAAATCAATGTTGATTTTCTCAAATAATACTTTTAATAAATCAAGTGTATTTTTCAATATGTTTCAGTCAATCACTAGTTGTCTACGACTATTACACGATTTCAATAAAATTTATTCTTCATTCATTCACAAATAATTAAAAAAATTGCAAAAAATAACGATAAAACTCACAGACTAACACTCACTATATATGTTTTTTTAAAACTGTCCGCTCACTCGAGGAGCAAAGATGGCGGATGAGAGTACTCATCTCTATAGTGCTCTAGTCAGGAGTGGGGACTACGAAGCAGCGCATAAAGAAGAGATCGAGAATAGAAAAAACTATATAGCTATATTCTGTTTCATTCTCTCGCAGGCTCAATCCTATATGTTTGTCTCTTTTTTTCTTCTTACTTACAATTAGGGATCCTACAGGATCCCTACTTACAATAAGTTGTCCTTGCTAGTTTTTTCTGAAACTTACTTATTTTTTGTTGTATTTAATTTAAAAGCTTAAATATATCTTATTACAATGTATTTTTAAATCCTATTTAAAATTCACAGGTATTTGCATTATTTTAATCCGTATTTTATTTAAATTTATACGCGACGTGTAAACATTAGTTTTTTCTCGTTGTAAATATCCCGCCAAGAGCGGCTAAGATTAAGCATACGCAAGAAATACGAACAACCAATCAAAACATAGCTACTATGACCCTATTTTCATTTGCGCGACAGATGACAGTCAAAATGGATCTTTTGTGTATTGCCATTGAATTCTTTAAACTTTTTCAATTTTTTTCATCAATTTAATGAATGTCTCCTAATAAATTAAAAAAGAAATTACAATCATAATTGTAAAGTATGTTTAATTCAAATTATATTTTTCTTATTTATTAATTATCGATAATTATATGACCGTCTTTTTCACGTCAACAAAACGAATCTACATTAAATGTACCATTTAAGTTTTATTACATTTCTATTTATTTATAAAAAATTTAAGTTAATATTTAAATGATTAATATATTATATAAAAAATATGAAAATATTATACGCGTTTTTATAAACATCAACCATCCGTTTGTTGAGACCTAGAAATTGATATAACTTACAATGAAAAAATATTATTCTAAAAAAAGAAAGTGCTGTCGGACTAATGGCTGCATTAGAAATTTTTTTTGTCTATGATTAATAATGTAGTATTGAATTTTTTAATTTATTTATTTGATAAATTCAAAAATGTACCTAGTTTGTAAATTTTTATATAATTTGACGATCCAAAAGTATCGGAAACAGTGATATCTATTCAAGGATCAAAGCAGCACATCATCGGATAAATAATTCTTACCGCGGTATTCATAGTCCGGTCTCAAGACAATCCTTAAGGTTATCTTAGCTAAGCTCGTCTTAAAGCTTTTAAGACTACATGTATTCATAGAAATACATTAAGATGATCTTAGGCAGTGATCCCATTCGTACGATGATTATCGTACGCGTACGATTATTTGAGGCCTTGTATCCAAAATTCAGCCCGTATGATCCAATTTGGAATTTCGAAAACTTGATGACCTTTCTTTTTTTTTTTAGTCATCAAATTTTGCAGGTGCACCCCCACCACCACCACCACGATCCGTGTACGATCTGTGTACGATCTCTGTATGAACAAATATTTCTCTCTGCGGGGGGTATGGTTTTGAACTTGGTGGTCTTCCGATGGACTTATCGAACCGCCGATTAGACGTTACGTTTGCTACCTAAGAAAAAAAGGTCATCAACTTTGAAAAAATTGGATCTTGCACTCTTTTTCCAGATTTTGAAAATCTCGTCCGGAAAGAAATTATCGGATTTTAAATTTTTCCCGGGCAGTATGATAATTTTCCGGCGTGTACGATAATTTTACGCCCCTGTGTCGATCAGACGAACTAAAGTCTCTGGGATCACTGATCTTAGGTAAGACTTTTGTATCATGCGTGACTTAAGCTTAGCTTTGATAAGATGACGTTTAGGATAATCTTAATTTATATTCGTCGATTTCCGTAATAATTCTTACGTATCCGATAATATGATTCGCTTAAAATGTATCATATATATATATACTAGGGGTGCCCCGGCCACGCGTTGCTGTGGCTAATAAATATATAGATAGATCTGAATCTACGTACATGACATTTGTCTTCTTTTTCTCTTTTTTCTTAATATCGAACCAACTGCGCATGAGTGGTAACATAAGATCACCACTTACTTCACATCATATAATTTTACATTGTCTGAATATAGGCACATAACATTTTTCTTTTTTTTCTCTTTTTTCTTAATATCCTTTTAAAGGATAAATAATTATAGTGGGTCACCCTTAGCACTCAGGGGTATAAGAAATATAAGAAAAACTATTCTCATACCTACCGAATATACACAAAAAATTTCATATAAATCTGTCAAGTCGTTTCGGAGAATAAGAATAACAAACACTGTGACAGGGGAATTTTATAGAGATAAAGATATATATATATATTTATTACTTATTCAAGGTATTTTGTAATACCAAAGATAAATTTAATTTTTTGTATAAGCACAAAAAAGTGCAATTTTTAGTTATTAATAAGTTTAATTACAGTTTTTAAGACATATTTAGTTTATATGCAAATGGCAATAAATGTTATTATTGAATAAGAAAATAAGAAAATTACTANTAATGAATGTCTCCTAATAAATTAAAAAAGAAATTACAATCATAATTGTAAAGTATGTTTAATTCAAATTATATTTTTCTTATTTATTAATTATCGATAATTATATGACCGTCTTTTTCACGTCAACAAAACGAATCTACATTAAATGTACCATTTAAGTTTTATTACATTTCTATTTATTTATAAAAAATTTAAGTTAATATTTAAATGATTAATATATTATATAAAAAATATGAAAATATTATACGCGTTTTTATAAACATCAACCATCCGTTTGTTGAGACCTAGAAATTGATATAACTTACAATGAAAAAATATTATTCTAAAAAAAGAAAGTGCTGTCGGACTAATGGCTGCATTAGAAATTTTTTTTGTCTATGATTAATAATGTAGTATTGAATTTTTTAATTTATTTATTTGATAAATTCAAAAATGTACCTAGTTTGTAAATTTTTATATAATTTGACGATCCAAAAGTATCGGAAACAGTGATATCTATTCAAGGATCAAAGCAGCACATCATCGGATAAATAATTCTTACCGCGGTATTCATAGTCCGGTCTCAAGACAATCCTTAAGGTTATCTTAGCTAAGCTCGTCTTAAAGCTTTTAAGACTACATGTATTCATAGAAATACATTAAGATGATCTTAGGCAGTGATCCCATTCGTACGATGATTATCGTACGCGTACGATTATTTGAGGCCTTGTATCCAAAATTCAGCCCGTATGATCCAATTTGGAATTTCGAAAACTTGATGACCTTTCTTTTTTTTTTTAGTCATCAAATTTTGCAGGTGCACCCCCACCACCACCACCACGATCCGTGTACGATCTGTGTACGATCTCTGTATGAACAAATATTTCTCTCTGCGGGGGGTATGGTTTTGAACTTGGTGGTCTTCCGATGGACTTATCGAACCGCCGATTAGACGTTACGTTTGCTACCTAAGAAAAAAAGGTCATCAACTTTGAAAAAATTGGATCTTGCACTCTTTTTCCAGATTTTGAAAATCTCGTCCGGAAAGAAATTATCGGATTTTAAATTTTTCCCGGGCAGTATGATAATTTTCCGGCGTGTACGATAATTTTACGCCCCTGTGTCGATCAGACGAACTAAAGTCTCTGGGATCACTGATCTTAGGTAAGACTTTTGTATCATGCGTGACTTAAGCTTAGCTTTGATAAGATGACGTTTAGGATAATCTTAATTTATATTCGTCGATTTCCGTAATAATTCTTACGTATCCGATAATATGATTCGCTTAAAATGTATCATATATATATATACTAGGGGTGCCCCGGCCACGCGTTGCTGTGGCTAATAAATATATAGATAGATCTGAATCTACGTACATGACATTTGTCTTCTTTTTCTCTTTTTTCTTAATATCGAACCAACTGCGCATGAGTGGTAACATAAGATCACCACTTACTTCACATCATATAATTTTACATTGTCTGAATATAGGCACATAACATTTTTCTTTTTTTTCTCTTTTTTCTTAATATCCTTTTAAAGGATAAATAATTATAGTGGGTCACCCTTAGCACTCAGGGGTATAAGAAATATAAGAAAAACTATTCTCATACCTACCGAATATACACAAAAAATTTCATATAAATCTGTCAAGTCGTTTCGGAGAATAAGAATAACAAACACTGTGACAGGGGAATTTTATAGAGATAAAGATATATATATATATTTATTACTTATTCAAGGTATTTTGTAATACCAAAGATAAATTTAATTTTTTGTATAAGCACAAAAAAGTGCAATTTTTAGTTATTAATAAGTTTAATTACAGTTTTTAAGACATATTTAGTTTATATGCAAATGGCAATAAATGTTATTATTGAATAAGAAAATAAGAAAATTACTACCAATATTTTATTAAAGCAATGAATACATTATAATGTCAGAATCGCAGATAATAAAATACAAAAATATTTTTCCAATGTTTTACAATTTTTTTTTCATAATTTTATTTCAAATATTATACATTATTTTACAAATTTATCATTTAAATATACAATTGCAGATCATTAAAAATTACGTTCAATAAAAAAAAATTATATTTCAATTCAAAATTATATGTACGAATTCTTTCTAAAGTAATTTTTCATTACTATTAACAATTACAAATGATTTCATTATGTCTGCTTTTGAAAAAGTAGAAAATTATGTAATAAAAAAAACATACGCTCAATTAATGCTTCACGAAATGCAAAACCATCAGCAGGTTGCCAATTTGGTTCAGGTACATGTACGTCTTCATCTTGTTCTTCATCTGAATCATCGTCTGGTAAATTATCATTAAATCTTAACGACATATTATGTAATACAACACAGGCTACAACAATTGTGGTTGAACAAAGAAGTTTGGTTGTTAATCCTCTTGATAAACAAGGAAATCGTCGTTTCCATAGACCGTAAGTTCTTTTCACTATGTTTCGTGTCCTAGTCTGAATGTTATTATACCTGTATCAAGCAACGAAAAATTAATGAATTAATAATAGTGTTACGCTGTGGAATGAAAATTTAATTAAAAAATGAACCTATTAAGAAAATGTATGAATTTTTAATCTATTTAAAAATAAATAACAGCTATAATTACTGACGTGATTTCTTAATCCGTTACTGGGTTATTGATTGGTGTCATTAAGAAGAGTAGACATGAATATCCAGCATCACCAACTAATATTCTATTTAGTTGATGTTCTAAATATCTCATGTAAATTCGAGAATTTTGAAAAATTCTACTATCATGAGCACTACCAGGCCATTCTGGCACAATATCTAAAAATTCCATTCATGGACCAATAACTGTCTATAAGATATTTTTTAATTAAAAATTTTTGAATTCATCTATCTTAAGGATTTAATGGTGAAAAAAAAATTTCATATGAACCTGTACATTGAGAGAAAAATAACTTTTCCGACTTCTGTATATTTCATCGACATTTTGAAATCTTGTATGAACTAATCGTATATAAGTACAATCAATTGCTCCATCAACACCAGGTATTCCAATAGCTCCCTTACCAAATCCTAGGTTTTTAAAAAGCCTCTGATTTTCTAATATATCTTCTTGAGTTTGTGGCATTTTTATGTAATCATTAAACAAGCTTGCAAGTAAAACACTTACGCGAAAAACTATTCTAGATATTGTTGGTTGGGAAATTGTCATAGTATCACCAAGGATGAGCTGAAAAAACAATTTTTTTATTTTCATTGAAAAATATATGTAAATTTTTGAGAAGTAATAAAAATCCGTCATTAATAATAAAAATGTATAATAATCATAACTGATAATTACCTGAAAGCTAGCAGTTGCATAAAATCGCAAACATATTAGCAATTGAAATACAGGTGGAATAGGTAATCCACGATTATTTATTTTAGATAAATTCGGTTCTATTAGTGGTAATATTCTAAACATAATACTGTTTTTGTCAAATCTGTATCGCTTTTTAAATTCAACATCTGAATAAAATCAAAAGGATCTTGTATATCTCGAATATAGCGTTTTGGAGCACGTATAATTATGTCTTCATTATCTGAATCAATATTAATATTATCATCAACATTGATATTATGTAATTTCAAAAAAATCCATTCTTTACTTGTTTTCACAATTTTTTCAAATTAATTAATTTTTAATTAAAATTGATTTGAATAAATTTAAATTATAATTAATTGATTAACTTTAAACTATCACTTAAAGCTTATTTTTGAATTATTATTTATTAATTTTTGATTATTATTTATTATTTTCAATTAATTATCCTAACCTCAATGTTAACTGAGATGGTCTTAAGTTTACTAAAATGTTGACTTGAAAAAAACTCTCGTTTTGAGTAAAAAGTAAGGTTATTAAGATGACCTTATTTGACTATGAATACATCAACTGTTTGTAATTCTTAAGATCGTCTTAAGCGATGACTATGAATATCTATCCAATTGCACATCTTGGCTAAGATCAAACTTTTAAGCATATCTTAAGATTGCGTCTATGAATGTAAACGCTAGCTTAAGACCATGCTTAAGGCGGACTTCAGTATAAGAGCGGACTATGAATACCGCGGTTATTTTTAATATTTTATAGAAATATATAAAATACATGATAAAAATCTAACATAAGACTAATAATCGTTATATTTAATATTTTCAAAATTACAGTTATGATAAATACAATTTTGTGAGGCTAGATTTTATGTACATTAGAATTTTCAAAATATAGTTTCATTATTAAATTTATATGTTATATTGGTAACCCTGCTTGCTAGTGTCAAACTTCAGTTCAGTTGAATTTAGCTGACAAGATCTTGAATTTTACCTTGATTAATATCTGTTTGAAATTCCTGTATAGATAAAGTTTTATTTGGTGAAAATCAAGATGAATATCACGTCTGCAGGTAAATGATTACTTTAAAAACGTATAAATTATTGTAACGTGTGTAAAATATGTTATAGATTAGATTTTCTTTCTCATACTTTGACAACAGTCACTACTGCATGTATAATGATTTGCAAATCCTGTGTTCCCTAACCTAAAAATTTATAATATTTTTTTTAGTGTTTGATATTATTTTTATTTTATTATAGTTAAATTGTAAATATAATGCTCTTTTGATTTGATAATCAATTAATTCTCATCATTTAATTATATTTTTACAGCTGGTATTATATCTCTGTTGGAGGAACCAATGCCAGAATTAAAGGTGTTTGCTCTGAAGAAGCTCGATATGATAGTAGATGAATTTTGGCCTGAAATTTCTGAAGCGATCGAAAAGATGTATGTGAATAGTTTAAATGTCATTGATATAAAATAGATTATAGAGATCAATGCAGTCTGTTTAATATTTTAGTGAAATTCTACATGAAGATAAGTCGTTTAATCAACATGAATTGGCTGCTTTAGTGGCCAGTAAAGTTTATTACCATCTAGGAAGTTTTGAAGATTCTCTTACTTATGCTCTTGGTGCAGGTGAACTGTTTGACGTTAATGCTCGTAATGAATACGTTGATACTACCATAGGTATAACATATTCTATTTTCTTAGTACGAATAAACAATTTTTTTTTATATTCACCATATTGATAATATCATTTTTATAGCTAAATGCATTGATTATTATACTCAACAACGAGTATTGGAAGCTGAGGGAAAATTACCACCCGGTAGTAAAGGAATAGATCCAAGACTTGAAGGAATTGTTAATAGGATGTTTCATCGTTGTCTAGAAGACAATCAATATCGTCAGGCACTTGGCCTTGCTCTTGAAACAAGAAGAATGGATGTTTTTGAAGCTGCTATTATGCAATCTGTAAGAAACAGAGTAAATATTTTATATTATTTAATATAAATGAGGTTTTATATATAATTGCTTTTTTCTCTTTTTTTTTTTTTGCGTTTTTTTCTTTTTGTTTCCATGCAGGATGATATAAGCGGCATGCTGTCGTATGCATTCCAAGTTGTTATGAGTCTCATTCAAAATAGGGGTTTCCGTAATACAGTATTACGGTGCTTAGTAAACCTTTATCGTAATTTGGGAACACCTGACTACGTTAATATGTGTCAGTGCCTCATCTTTCTTGACGACCCATTAGCTGTCGCTGAACTTTTAGATAAACTTAGCAAAGGTTCACAAGAGTGTGTCTTGATGGCCTATCAAATTGCCTTTGATTTGTATGAATCAGCTACGCAACAGTTCCTTGGTCGTGTTTTACAAGCATTGCGAGCCACTGCTCCGATACCATCAGCTCTTATGGTAAAACCAATTATTAAACCTGCTGCTAAACCAACTGCTGAAACTAGTTCTAATTCTACCAGTATGGAGACTGAAAGTAGTACACCAGTAGTAGAAGAAAAGACTCAACGTAGTATCGACAGCTTAGTACGTATATATTTATTTTAACTGTTTCTTTAAATTTGTCTTAGATGGTTATTTTTGATTGATTATTCATATTTAGAGTCCTGAAGAAAAGGAACAACAAGAACGAGTCGATGCTTTGTCCAGTATTTTGGGAGGAGAAATATCAATTGATTTACATTTACAATTTCTAATTCGTAGTAATCATACAGATATGTTAATATTAAAAAATACAAAGGATGCCATACGTGTATCCATTTGCCACACTGCCACAGTGATAGCAAATGCATTTATGCATTCTGGTACTACCAGTGATCAGTTTTTACGGTACGTCTTATAGTTAATATTTAGTATATCATATTTTTACGTAGGTTCTATAAACGATTAATTTCATTTTATAGTGATAATTTGGAATGGTTAGCTCGTGCTACAAACTGGGCCAAATTAACAGCAACAGCTTCCTTAGGTGTCATTCACAGAGGTCACGAACAAGAAGCATTAGCATTAATGCAATCTTATTTACCACGCGATACTGGAGCTGGTGCAGGTTATTCGGAAGGTGGTGGTCTTTATGCACTTGGGCTAATTCATGCAAATCATGGTGCTGCTATAACAGATTATCTGTTAGGTCAACTGAAAGATGCACAGAATGAGGTATTATCAGAAATTGTCTTTTATAAATATATTTTTTTTTATATCTTTATATCTTGTTTATATCTCTACTTAAAAATAAACATCTAAAATTTTAGATGGTCCGTCATGGTGGTTGCTTAGGACTTGGTTTAGCGGCCATGGGTTCTCATCGTCAAGATGTATATGAGCAATTGAAATTTAATTTATATCAAGATGATGCAGTTACTGGTGAAGCAGCAGGAATCGCAATGGGAATGGTCATGTTGGGTTCTAAATCTCCTCAAGCTATTGAAGACATGGTAGCGGTAAGTGTATTTTATATATATATATATATATTTTATAATTTTAAATACTAGAAAAAAATCGCGTTTAATATGTCCAAAAATTATTTTATTAGAATATATAATACGTATTTATATATACAATCTTTTGATGAAATAAAAAATATCGCAATAATTATCCTAAAGCAAAAGGAGGTTTACTGGCAGTGGGCAGCGTGTATGCTCCTTGAGCACTACAAAATTATAAATAATAATTAATTTTAAATTAATAAATATAATAAACAAAATAGAAATATAAGACTATAATGACTACTTACGAATGATCAAGTGTAGGTCCACCCATGTATACGCTAGGACAAGTAAAAGGTGATTTATTGCACGTAACAGGAGTAGCTCGGAAACCATGATGATTTACAATAGATTCGGCAAAATATCGATATGATCTTGCGTGAGCACAATTTCCTATTAAAAAAGAGGGAAAAAATATTATTACAAGAAATAATTCGGTTTACATACAAGAAATATTATTACAAGAAATAATTCGGCTTATATACAAGAAATATTATTACAAGAAAAAATAGGTTAGAATTAAAAGTTACAGAATAACGTGTTACCGAATATGTCCAAATGACATCCAGGTTGTGATTTTCCACCGTTCATGTGGAAATCTGACATACCAATATTACCTCCTAGACCTAATTTTCCAGCATTCGTATGAATTACTTGTACGTAGTCAGCATGAGATTTATGGATTCTTTTATTCGGATCACTATTATGGTAACCTGGTCCTGCAGGATCAAGACCTAGCAGTAAAATCATTATTAAATAATTCGTAGAATAAAAAGATATTTTTTTGTTTATGTTTTTTTTAAACATATAAATTTCAACATACCGAGTACTTCTCCAATTTGACCGTCAGTATGTTTAGCTGAGAGTGATATAAGATGCGCACCCAAAGAATGACCAATCATTAATGTTTTATCAAGTTCAATATCGCCAAAGAAATTAAGATAATCTATAAATGCACCCACGTATTTGGCAACGTTAGGTATACATGCTCTGACTTTACTATAAATTATGTCACTTGCGACAACTCCCCAATCAATCACGATAATATTATAATCATTAACTTTTAAAAATGCTGCATAAATAGAAAATTGATATTAATTTTTATTTGAGAAGATATAATTAAAATATAATGCATGTTTATCAAATTTACATACCATCACGAATTTCTACGCAGGATTCACTGTTGCCATTACCGCGCCAGCCATGTGTGACGATTCTCGTAGGATTAGATTTATTCCAATTAGAATTAAAAAAATTCTCCGGATCGCTCATTTTTAAAACATAACCATTTTTAGGATTTTGTCTGAAATAACAATAATTAATTATAATTAACAATAATTAATTTATTACTAAGATAAATATTTCATTAAATAATTATTTATATATAATATAATTATAACATTAATAAAATAATATAATTACAATAGATTATATTATTTAATTTATTATATTACATTATATTATATTATATTATATTATATTAAGCCAATATTTTTCAATTATCTTTTGTTCAATATTATGTATACTGATAAATTATTATTTTTACTAAAAAATATTAACCAAAAATATAAAAAAAAAATGAAATTAAATAAATAGAAATGTCAATACTAACCGTGTATAAAGTAAAAATTTAACCGACGATAAATTAGCTGCTAATTCAATGAAATCGTCATTAGTTAACATGTATTCATCAGCATCGACAAAATGGGGAATGCCATTATCGTCAGAAAAGTAATATGGTTCATATCCATTGGTGAGGTTTAGTGAAAACGTACAAAAAACTAAAATTATAAAGATATGTTTAACAAAGGAAACTTTTCTTTTCTTTTAAAATTATTTTACTTTTTTCTGTTTCTTCGTTTTTTTTAAATATTTTTTTTCCTTATTGAAAGTGGTAATACTAACTTGCTAAGAATACGAACAGAGTTCCCATTGTAATATAATGTTGAGTGTGTGTGTCAGAGAACGTTTCTGTCTTCGTTTTCTTTTCTGCACTTCTAAATCCTTCCTTTTATACTCTTCTTCAAGCTTGCTTTTACGATTATCTGTACTTTACCACAATGTTCGATAATGCGAGATATTTATCAAGGAATTTGTTTATCCACGTGCTTTAATCCGATCTAAAAGAAAATTTAATGCTATTATTACGAAATAATTGTGTGTTTTTTTTTATCATATAATCAGTAATCATAGAAAAGAAAAGAAATCATTCGATTTCATTTTTTTAATTATTTTTTTTATTTGTTTTATTTTTTGTTTTATTAGATTACATTGATATGTATTAGCAATCGATTTGATAGGTATGATATCTACGTGAAGATTGAATGATACTCGTCTTTGTCGTACTTTATCATTCTCTTAAGAACAAAATTATCGATAAGAATGTTGTTATTTCATCTTTAAGATAATATCTTTTTTAATTACATTTCCGTCATTAGCACAGATCGGGAATTCTTTTAATCTTTCAGATTTGTCAATAGAATTTAATTTATCTCGAATATATAATTGTTTATTAAATTCTATTAGTTCTTTTTCTATTCGATCGATATTAAATTACATCATTAAATAGCATTCGTGATTATCTATCAAATCATATTGCGAAAATTTTTATAATGCGGTATTGATAATGTTAATAAAGAAAATTCCGATTGTGTAAATGATTTTCTCCACGTACTAACTTATATTTTATTCATCGAATGTTTTTAAAGATACACTTGAGAAGTAGTGTTTTTTAATTAAAAAAAAAAAAATTAAATCTACTTGATGATAGAATTTATTAAATTTTTTTTCTGTTTTTCTTTTTTGGAAAGATGATTTCAACATCTCGTTAAATTTATTTCAAGAGGAAGATATTTGTACTCGCGTTGCAAATACGAAATATGATTTATGTCAAGTTTTACCGACAAAAAAAATTTGTTAAGAAACGTAAGGCTTAAATTTTGCAACGATTTTTAATGATCTAAATGATTAAGTTAGTATTTCATGACAAATACGAAGCCATCAGAGTTTATTTAGTTTATTTAGTTTGTGGAGAGATCGGAGATAAAATAGGTGCTTGTAAATAAAATTTGGAAAAAAAAGATACAAAGTTTGATTTGAATTTTTATATAAAGAAAAGCAAACCGACGTCGCCAACATTTTTTTCTTGTCTTGCAGAATGATTAAGTTTCGCTCGATGATAATTAATTCTGGGTAATGAACATTTTTTTGTAATTTTTATCAGATTAGAACCAAAACTTTGCCCTGAGCTATTTATGAACTTAAAAACCGACTTGACTCTTCCCTAATTTTTTTTTTTTAATTCAACAAAGCTCAACTTAAGATAAATCAATCTCAACTTTAAATAAATAGGAACTTCAAAAAAAAAAAAAGAAAGGAAGAGAAGAAATAAAAATTAAAAAAGCATTTCTCTTCTTTTCGCTTATAAGAATCAAAATCGGAATTTGATCAAGATTTTTTTTTAATTATTTGTAGACTTTTTTTTCTTATTTTTTTTTTATTTTTGCGAGCAACGAACGAAATACAAAAAAAGTCCTACTCGAATATCAAAGAAAAATCGTTCTCTTTTCTCGCAAAACATATCACATTAAACACTTTAAAATTTACTTGCTATTCGCCGTATATTTTTACATGTATTTAAAAAAAGTTACTTTTATTTATTTAATTAATATTTAAAAATATTTGTATTCAGTAGGTTTTATATTAATATTTCATTAGAAGTATTGCAATTTATTTAACTAATAAATAGCAGTTTTCACAATGTAAAAACAATCATAATCATTTCAACACGTGATAAATTTAATATCGTACTAATAATACATATAAATTAAATTATTATTTTTTATTGTTTTTCTATTTTCAACTCCTGTAAACATTGATTAAGTTTATTGAAAGATAAGAACAATTCGTTAATAAATATACATATATTTATTCATGATTTATTTTTTCTAGTATGCACAAGAAACGCAACATGAGAAAATTCTACGTGGATTGGCTGTTGGTATTGCATTTACTATGTATGGACGTTTAGAGGAGGCTGATCCTCTCGTTTCATCCCTTTGCGCCGATAAGGATCCGATTTTACGAAGGAGCGGCATGTACACGTTGGCTATGGCATATTGTGGTACTGGGAACAATCAAGCCATTCGAAAGTTACTACACGTTGCTGTAAGTAATTCAAGTAAAATGAAACAAATCTTCAAAAATTTGATAGAATAAACAAAAAATTAAAGCTACGATGAAAATGAAAAATGCAAAACAAAAATCATAAAGATAAAAGAGAATTTAAACTTCTTACATTTTTCATTCTTAATCCGATACTGAATTTTGCATATCGATGTCACCACTATTGAACTTTATAGATCGGCATACTTACATGAACACTTTTATCAGGTTTCTGACGTAAATGACGATGTCCGGCGGGCTGCAGTCACTGGCTTAGGATTCCTCTTGTTCAGGTGAGTACTTGCATAGAATACTATGGTTATTATCAATGATATAGAAAATTCAAGAAAGAGGAGAGAATTCTTCTTTCGGATTAAATCGTATCGTGACACTTTGATTATGATACTTCGATCGTGATACTGAGCTTTCAAGAATTTCATCTTATCGAGATTACCGAAAATAGATTTGATAGTTTAATATTTTATCAGAAAAAGTTGTATCTTTTTAATGCGAATGTCTTCTTAAGAATTAATTTTATAAAAAATTGATAATATATTTTCTTTTTTTAAATGTATGTATGATTAATTTTTTACCGTAATTAGATTGGGTAATAATATAATATTTAAGTTTAAATAAAAATTTAGTTGTAATTAAAGTAATATGTAATGATTTTATCTTATCAATAAATCAAAAATAGTGTTTTTTGAATACACGTGCGATTTAACTGTATTATCTAGAGTATTTCTTTTTTGTAAGGTCATATTTTATCATATCAAGTATTTTACTTTGAGCAGGATATGTACTTCCGTGTAGAACATAATATATAACAAAAAAATATTTATTTTCCATTAATTTTCTTACTATTTTGTTCGTATTTTTAGGTTTTCTTTGCACATAGTCTTTTGAATATATTCAATAAATTAATTTTTTGTTTTGTTTCTAAAATATGAAGATTACTTTCTATGATTTGAGTTCGTATTAAAATCAATTTTAATGGATACATTTATCACTTTGCTGATCGATAAGCTGTGGCTACCAAAGCTATTCTTAAATCGATAAGTAGCAATCAATCTGTGCGTAAGCTAGGATTTCCATTATCACGTCGAAGTTCTATAAACGTCTGTTAATTACTTGCGTATTTGCGTAAAACCATTAGCCGCATTGTTCGTTACAATGAACGGCTTATATAATTCATGGGTTTTTACGCGTTTCTATTATTTCCTTTATAATGCAGATATTATTGAATTTTCTATACAATTATCTTCTGTTGAAATCGAATTCTTTCTTATTTCTCTTATATTTTCTTTTGTTTTCTTTCTTAATCGAACACTCTTTATTGCAATTTTTTCAAATTAATTTCTGACATAACTAATCGTTTTTTTTTTTTACCACATTTTTGTTTCGTAAATATACTATTTAATTACTTTTTTCTTTTTATTGAAAAACAATCCATTTACGAAAATGAATACGTAAGTGAGAATAAAATTAATTCGAAAATTTATCTTTTCTTTATTGCATTATTGGTAATATACATACATCTTTTATATTCTTTAACGTTTACGATTCATCTTTCCTGTTTCCCTATCCTTGGGGAAGTTTTGAAAAGAATGCGTATCTTATTTGAAGGAATGACATCACGGTGAATTATTTGCGGTTACTCGTCGGCGATTCCTCTTTTTTGGAAAATTAAATCTAATCTTAATGATTAATCTTCGAGAGAAGAAGAAGAAAAAAGAATTTGGACTCGATAAGAAAGAAAAATCCATTGGAAAATTTAATCTCTGATTTACTTTGCTTAACGCAACGACAATTTATGTATATATATTAATTCTTCATTCATTTTTCTTCTTCAATTTTGTGTTCTTCCTTTAATTCGTTTTTCTTAATATTTTTTCTTTTCTTTCACATCCAACCAGTAAGTCTTCATTTTCATAGATTTACTGAATCATATCACGGTTAATCAAAAACTCAGTCATCGAGAATTTCTCGCAACGAGAATAAATATTGCTATAAAATAAGATGAAACGAAGGAAAGGATACAAAATAGGAAGAGATCTTTTTCCTTTGTTTCTATATTTAATTAATTTTTTTGTATTCTTCCCATATTGATAAGCTAATTTTCCTTACAAAAGAAAAATCCACTGTTATTTTTGAAAGAATTATTATGAAGTTGCAAAAGTTTAATTTATTTTTTATACATATGTCTTTTTTATAAACAGTTAAAAAAAACAAATAAATTAATAATCATTTTCAGCTGATTTCTTTTTTTATTTTAATAAATTGTATTTAGTTCTTATCAGGTATTTTTAAAACACAATGCACGTATCTCGGATTGCGAAACACTGTTTCGAAGTATACCTTTTTTAAATCTTTTTTATTTTATAAAGAAACAAATCTTTTTCGTAAGTTCGATTCTCGAAGCTCATTATTGCAAATAAATCTTGGTGCAAAGTTTTTAATTACTTATAGAAAAGAAAGACGGAGAGAGAGATAGATAGAGAGAGAGAGAGAGAGAGAGAGAGAGAGAGAGAGAGAGAAAGAGAAAATGTGCTACTTAAAACCGTAAAGTTTAGTAGGATAAAAGATGACTTTTATTGTTCAACGATAGACATTCCTATCGCGGTTGAAAACTTCTCCGCTAATTGTACCGCGAGTTCCTTCGTTCCTTCGTTCCTTCGTTTTTCCGTGTTCATTCGTTTTCATTCAATTTCATTAACCAAGCACAAGCCCTTATTGGATAGCGTTTCTCTCGTTCGGAAGTTTTTCGGAACAAGAAATAAAAGAATTCAGTTTCCAAAATTAATGAAATAATAATAAAGAAAATAAAAACAAAAAAATGTAC